ATTGTGCTGGTCACTGAGCTCATGACATCTGGCACCCTGAAAACGTGAGTATTTTAGGGTTGGGGGAAGGTAATGGGGTGTGGGGGGGCAAGGGGATGTGGGGGGAGGGAGTCTTAGGTTTTATAGTGATGGATAGGTGGGGGCATACAGTGTGTGTCAGGGTGAGGAAATGTACAGCATGGGGCGGTGGGCAAGCAGGGAGCTCGTGTGTCTGTGTGTGACTTCTCAGCAACATGAGCCACGCTGCAGGCGTGTGGAGCACAAGGCCCAGCACAAAGCAGGACATGTTTCCAGACATCTCTGCCAGAATCTGTCCAGGCCCACTCTGTGTTGGGCAGAGTCTGCCATCCCCTTGGGCAGGCATGGCTGCAGTTGAGCATGGGAAGAGGCCCTGGAGCTGGTGGAGAGTGCAGCAAAACACTGCTGCTGGGTGCTCAGTAACGGAGTTTGGCCCCATGTGCCCAGGTCTGCAGCCCCAGGGTGTGGCACTTTCCACTTGACCAGCAGCTGGTGGTGTTGCCTGTACGATCTCACTTTCTCGTGCTGCATCCTGGCTACTTGCTGTGGCTAGGCTCCCCACCCTGGTGTCCTGGCCTGCTCCTGGTGCTTTTGGAGCTTGGCTCCTGCTTTTTGCAGCCTGTGGGAGAACAATGTTCTTCATGCAGGCTGGGGCAACTCGGTACCCAAATGGGCTCCTCACCAGTTCTGGTCACTTGAGTGACTCCCACTCAAGAGGGCAGCGATGTGTTAGGGGCATAGAGGCACCTGGGAGGTGGGCCTGGCAACACCATCAGGGTGTCCCCAACCCCTGCCCCAGGCCACCTCCCTGCAGGTGCAGCCCATCTGGAGTGCCCACTGCTCACAGCTGCCTCTTCTGTCCCTTGCAGCTACCTGAAGCGGTTCAAGGAGATGAAGCTGAAGGTCCTGCAGCGCTGGAGCCGGCAGATCCTCAGAGGCCTGCACTTCCTGCACACGCGCTCACCTCCCATCATCCACCGTGACCTGAAGTGTGACAACATCTTCATCACTGGCCCCACAGGCTCTGTTAAGATTGGGGACTTGGGCCTGGCCACCCTCAAGCGAGCCTCCTTTGCCAAAAGTGTGATAGGTATGTGGGCAAGACCTTTCCTCTGATGCCCTAGCACAGGGCTGTGCACATAGCCAGGTCCCTGGAGGGGAAGTGTCTCTTGTCACAGCTGAGTCCCAGACATGCCAAGGAGCTGTGTGTGGTCTGGCTGGGGGCATGGGAGCCTTGGCTTGAATCAAGAAGGGCATGAAGCCTGCTGGGCTTAAGGTCTCCAGCTACTGCACCTCATAAAACAGGAGGGCTCCAAGTAACCCTTGGGTAGCAGGATGGGCTTGGGGTATGGCCGTTCTTACAGGCCTTGGATTGGGCAGTGGGTGGTATTGGGCTCTAGCCCCTACATCTTCCCCAAGCAGCCTGGGTCTTGGTCCTGAGCTATGTCCTGCGTGCCCCCAGGCACTCCAGAGTTCATGGCCCCGGAGATGTATGAGGAGAAGTACGATGAGGCAGTGGATGTGTACGCCTTCGGTATGTGCATGCTGGAGATGGCCACCTCAGAGTACCCATACTCAGAGTGCCAGAACGCCGCCCA